GAAAATTAACATATAATATCAAATTTAACAATTACATTGTGGGTTTGATTTTATGCCTAAATAATATACCTACTTATATTTTCACATGTCATAACTCATAATATCTGACTGATATGTGATAATACAAGTGATAAATTCCACAAGTAATTCTTACAGTAAGAGGCTATTTATTATTTGTATAGATTAAAAAATATTAACACAACTATGTATAACATTAACTGTWTTATTTTACTATAAATACGTTAATATGCAATTTAAATTTAAGACCGGTCAATGTTATTGGATATGAACTTGGTTATTATCATTTATCATTAAGTCATACACCAAAAATGTTCGTCTTATAATCGATGACGCCATCTGCATAGAGAATGTGCGCGTAAATATAATTTTCACTCTATAATATAATATAAAAATCGAGAAAGTATCTTGTATGGTTGATTCTTAAGGCAATATTATTTTTTAACTGTCGTTGATCTCCGTGAAAGATTACATTTTACTGCTCAAATTTTTCTCGTTTTTCAACTTTCGTGGCATATATTTTTATTTAATTTTTAAATTATCGCACGTTTTACTGTGACATTATTGTTTTTGATAAATATATTTATTCAGAGACAAATTAAAACAATGACACTCACATCTTTACGACGCAGTGGTTATTATTAAATATAGCTACTTCATAATTTGTATTATTTTTTACTTGCGACAAATCATTCGGTAAGGAACATAGGAAATATTATTATTGCTTCTATAGGAAGGTGAAAATATTTTATTTTAGTAGGTTCATAACTGTAAAGGAGGATACGGTTGGTTAGAACACGTGTACGATTACATGTGGCGAAGATTTGTCACTGAAAAAGTATAAACCCGTGTGGTCACTGGTCACTCACCCTAGAATTAGTGACACCGGCTCATGCTTGATCTCAAAACATATTAATGGCATCAAACGCTGGGCCACACCAGGCCACTTAAAATATTATTGTAATGGTACATAGTATATCAATACAGTACGTAATATACGATTATACTGAATTTTATATTTTCTACATTTCTATAATGTGTGTATTATATTATGTGAAAATACAAAAATAAAACGRCCAACAGTAATAATTTAAATTTATTTAAGTGTTTATAGTGTTTATTTTGTGAGATCCCTACAGTGTTATTAATTTTAACTATATATAGTAGTATTTACATAGCRTGAACTGTTTCGTGAATTTTCTGTACCTAAATTAAAACTTTAAATCCGATGATATTGATATTTTATACGTTTGATTTCATGAATAAAAAATTAAAACACTAACCTACCCATTTACAAGGACATCGCGTATACAATAGAAGGTGAAACGCCGTGTTTAAAATTTAAGATGCGTTTGACACTATTTTTCTTTCGATGACAAAAATTATTAAGATAGTCTCTACACTCACTTTACGGATACGAATAATATAGTCGGGTTTGCTTAGCCAATGTAGGTTATTGTTGGTAGTCACTATAGTTGCCATAATCATATACCTGTCTAGGAAATCTACGGTTTAGCTTGAGTTTTTTTTTCTTTTTACAAATTAGGCACAGCCGACAGAATGTGAATCAACGTGTTTAATTATGATTTATATGAATTTTAGATGCATAAAAATTAAATATATACCTATTTACAAGCGTATACTTTTATTTCAGATAGGTTTGATAGTTTTATCAAAATAATTATGAATTAAGCACGTATAATATAATACGTTAGAGTTATACAGGCATAACTTCAAACACTATGATAATTAATGTAAATATACTTAAATACAATTATACTTCTAATATTCTAATATAGAACGAAAAATCTAAAAAAAAATGAATCCTATGAAATTCTTAAATAAATTATTATAAACTATACATCATGAAATCAATAAAATGAGATAAATTTTTATTTCTCAAACAAGATATCAATAAGTACCTAATTACCAAGTATAAAAATCCAAAAATATTGTAAATTAAAAATTAAATTAAGGTTATTGGTAATTATTGGTACTTAATATAATATAATAATTAATATACCATATTATAAAAAACAGAATTACAATGATTATATACAACTTAATATATACTAATATAAATATATAATAATAAATTGTTTTGGTATATATAATTAAATTGCAAAATGCACTTTCAAYCAATTATGTATTTTTTTGTTAATATCTCTAAGTTTGGATGGGTTTGAAATATGTAGTTTGCTCAAAAATTAACTATAATAATACTTACTAATGAGCATGATGAATATAATGAGTATTTACCATTTAAATCTAAGCAGTMTGCAGTTTACAAAGAATACCTACTTTCTTTTCCATTGCATAATTATTATTAACTATTATATTTTTATCGTATTATTAACATTTAACTAGCCATTACTATTATACCTAATTACTATTATTTTTTATTACTTACCTATAGAGTTAAAATTAAAATAATGTTTATTGAAATATATCAATTGAATTTTAGAAGATTTTTAAAATTATTTTGGCACATTATAAAGCCTTCTTACAATCACTGTCCATTATTTTATATCCATATGATATCTAAATATGTGTCATTCAATATTTCCACCATATTTTTGAGATTTTCATAAATAATATAGATTTTATAATATTGTGAATCATATAATGATGTTATATGTAATTAATATTATATTTTAATTAAATTATACTCGTATATATACKTATTATTCAGAAGATCAAATTTTTTAGTACATTAACATCTAATCAATTACATATCTGTGCTATATATACAGATTATTAAAAAAAAAAATGAATGTTATTTCGATGCCTCAGAGATATTCTATAGATACAGATACGAGATGCTTATCTATGAAAACAAAATTTATCAAGGATATAATATCTCTAGGAAAATTTAAAACTGGAGATTAATATGTAATATAATTTTGATACCACGTTTTACAAAAATGTTAATAATTATTATAATTAAATATAAAACAATAATARTTATTGCTTTAATTTGTTTTATCGTCATTTTCATCGTAATCTATTTTATTTTATAATATTTTGTCATTTCAGTTGAATTTAATAATCTTAAAAATCATAATTCAAATACAATAACGATAGGAAATAATAGTGTTTATTCAAATATATATCCTATATTATAATTTCATGACTTCGTGATTTGTATTTTTACGACATATAATTTTAATTTTTTTTTTTTTTTTTGAGTAAATTCAACAGGTTCAGTACCTATTTTACAGTATGTACAGCAATAAAATGATGAAATTTTAAACGGAAATCCGTTTGATAAAGAAAATAAATTTACAAATTATATAATATAAATTAAATGTAGGTTGTTTTGTGAATAAAATGAAGGCTACATTATTATTATAATGTATAGGCTTTTAATACGATACTATGCCAATGTTCGAACCCAAGACCTTGAACCGATAGTAAAATAATATGCCTCAACTTACGAGCATATCCACTTATTACGGCTTTACTAGTAAAACGGTATACTATTATGAATTAAATACGTCACTTTAGTACTACTGTTGTAGGAAGGTGTCATTTAAAAAATTTTAAAAATGGTTCAGCTGAGTATAGTGTTGTCATATGTGTAGGCATATAGTTTGCAAAGTATTTTCATTTCATGGCCGTTTATCAATTATTATTCAAAAGCCAAGTGAATGCCGAACAACAAAAACCTCTATTGTACAAGTTCGAAAAATTATTTCAGTTAAACGTTTTTATGAGTAATAATATATTATACATAACAACATATATCTACATCAAGTCACATCAGGTTGTACACTTATAACTTTGTGCGCTTTCATAAAAAACAAGTTRTTACCATAAATTCATAAATACCTACAAAATTTTCAACATTCTACTAGTGATAACGTTTTTATTTTTATGATTCGCAGAAACATCTATAATACAGAATAACTTAATGTGCAACTGTTCCGCCGCTACGTACATAGATATTAGATATGCTATACCTAAGTATAAATGTTAAATATTTTATACTCAGGAAGGATGTTCGAGTACATTTCCGGTTGGATATCTGGTATTCAGATAACAGATTCTGTTTTAAACAGCATTCATAAAGTTCATCTATGGCTTCAGAATTACGTTGGTACTTCGTACAAGATGTTACCTTTATTATATAAAATATTAATGATATAATGAGTGGTATAATAGTATATTATATAGTAATGTATGGGCAATGGGCATGAGTGATGATCACTGACCCATCCCATAAATATAATGACCCATTCCATAAGAAAATTGTATTATTTTACAGGTTATAATTTCACTTCTTGAATAGTTGCATAATCATGCAATCCCAATATTTAAGATAATAATACTAACATTAATTATTGTGTATTTATAAAATTTAATATGAAACAAATATGAATAAGAGAAATTTTAAAAATCACAAAATGACAACTTGTTAATTGTACAAAAATGTCGTGTTTAACACTTTTGTAACACTAATAGTAATGTTAATAGTACATAATTGCATTTTATAAAATGTTGCGTAGGTATTTGCGTGGAATGTAGTGATTTAAATTTAATAAACAGATTTAGATTCATTATTTCATTAATGCAAATTTAATTGATACTTCCAGTGTAATGACTTATGTGTATATTACCTATAGCTTCTATTCTATGTATTACTTTTAAAATGTTACTTACCCCCCAAATATCATATTTAAAATATATAAATTAACCTATAATATAAAATTATATGCAAATAGGTAGCCAGGTAGGTCATACCTTTTTATTCTACACAGGTACGCCACTATCAATCTAATATTATATATTACCAGTTGGCACTCACACAACCTTCAGATGACCTTAATTTTTATTAAGTAGATACTACAGGTATCTCTCTACAATTGCATGGTTATCAGTGATATCGTGATAACTTATCACTATTCATTTTCGATCAAACTGATCAAAGATTAAAATTTAGATCAACGGGCATGTCAAATATAGTATAGCGGTTTACTGACCGTCTTCGCCGGCGGGTAAATGTCTTTTGATGGTTACCACTGCCTCGTGGAGCGAATCCTCACGAGTCACGTCCAACGGCACAAACACGATACCTCCGTGTGCCCGCTCAACGTCTGTCGCGGCCGATTCACGCTGCTTTACGCGYGACCGGAGCAGGGTGCAGGCACTGGATGACRGGCTGGACGGTTGCGCGTGATCGGAAGACTCGGTCGCGTCCGTTCGCATGTCCGGTTTGTGGCCGGCAAACACCCGGAAACCAGCGGCCGCGAACCGGTCACAAAGCTGTAGTCCGACAGACGTCTCACACGATGTGACCAGCACTGATCGGAGCGCTGGAACTGCGTCCACGGTTTTCCTGCTCATTTTCCGCAACAAATATAGCACCTGGAACAAATTACCACGTCAGTAACCTAATATCGATAAATATTTTATATAAACTACAAGAGTACCTACATTAGCGTTGCTCGCTATTTTCATCACGTGGTTATTGGTTACCGAGGTAAAGGTGGTAAAACCACCAAGTAAAACACCAAGCTGGCCATCATTATGCCTACGTTAAAACTAGATTTGTACATTTTAATATAATAACACTGGGCACATTCTGACTCTGTTTAGAGAATAAAAGATATTTTTTATCACTGTATAGTGTATCATGCCTGATTATAATATAATTTTGTCAATTTAAAGCTACCAGTGGCTCTTGRCCCTTGGGGGAGGGGTTATTCAAATCAAAAAATGAATTAACAAAAAGAAAAAGGTCTTCAATTTGAAATATTTTATTTTTAAAAACATTTCGGGGGGTGTTACAACCCCCAAATCTCTCCCTTGGTTGTGCCACTGAAAGCTACTTTAATGAAAACCTAGATATTGAGGAACATTGTAAAATGGAAATAAATATAATATTAACTATGATGACCCATATGCTACCACCCTCTGCACTGTCATTCAATAAACGCATATTATTCGACTATTTTAAAATGATGGATGATTATGGCATGACAATGCATATTAGTTTAATATTTTTATTTATTTAAAATAAGAACTCATTAATCTTAAATTATGAGGGCACTGATTGGAAAACYGATGGAGCACACTCAACCACGCCTCGAAATAATATTTATAGTTAAAATATYACGCTGCAATTATGCAGTATATGAATTTTCTGAAGTATTCTTATAAAGTCAAATATGTTTATTCAGTTTATTGGCAAAACAAATAATAATAATAAAATAAAAATTGAATAAAAAATGTTGAAGTTAAAAAGTCGTGTTAATCGATAATATAAGTAATATAGTCCTACTGTAGTATCCGAAAATACTTCAAAAGAAAATATATTTAAAGAAGAGAAGTTAAGATTTGATTATTAACTTATCAGACACYAATAACCTCCTGTAACAATTAATATATCCATGGTTGTACACTTGTACCTATATATCATTAAATATGATTATTGATCATTCAACGCGTACGAATGGCGCTAATGTTCTTCCGTTTTTTATTACGCGATAGAAATTATATATTTCATGCAAATATCTACGAGTGATTACAATTGGTCTGATGGTTTAGGTCATAAAGGTGAGTGTCTTATCCAAATATAGAAATTCCGTATTTGACTTGTATATTTATGTGTATAGTGTATAAATATATATATATACGTACAAGCGTACAATATACAGTAAACCGCAGTCGAGAACAACTTCAAATCTATACTTTCACCCAATTACACGCGGCCACGCGGGACGTTCGAACCGGTGTATTGGATATTACGCATGCAAATAAAAAACTTGTTTTATCAACTTTTGATTTGAAAAAAATGATTTTTTGAACTTACAATACAATATATTTTTTTGATTCAAAAATAAATTTTGTACATACTGTGTAACGTCTACACTTCATTGCATATTTGCAAAAGTTCAAAATAAAAATGATATAAAAGCATAGGTATTATTACACGCCTTATTTAAATTAAATTATTTATTTAAAATGTTGTTATCTRAAAAATAGTGAAATTCGTACAGCCCACGACACGAGCATATACAAAACATTTTTTTAAATAGAAATTGACTGTAGTTGTTTAAAACAATGAAATATTTATCAGTCGTGGTGAATCTTTGAATATTATTGAAGGAATACAATATTATATGTATGTAATGAGAAAATAATAAATTCTAATAGGCTATAGACGTACTATTGTTTTTTATCATATTTAATATTTATAAGTTGCAATATAATGCACTTAGATTACTCATATATATTTTCAAAAATCACCTCCGAGTTTCAGTATTTTCTTAACATATTTTAATATACATTTATCAAATTATATTGTTACAGTTATAGTGGATTAATAATTAGTCGTTTCGTCTACGAGTACAAGTAAGTTTATACACCTATTAATTCTTGGCTTTAATCAATCAACGTTCAATGAGCCGTAATAAGTAAAGTGTAGGTGGAGAGACACGGTGGTTGGTTAATATATACACAAATTATCATGCACAATAGTTTGAGGTACCTTAGTTATTTATTACTTATTAGTTATTATAATGATATTTTCAATTGTCTTATGTACGTGTGAATGTGCGCCACGCACTAATGACGACGGTCTTTTTATGTTAAAATATTGTGTTACCTGGTGGTGCTATAAATTATTCGGCCTCTGATTTCCTCTTAATTTTTGGTTATCGTTACGAAATTTACTTCAACATTATGAGGACCAAATAATCACCCAAAAACTGTATAAAATTAAATTTGTAAAGTTTTCATTATGCGTCTTAGAAGACTGTAGTGTCTTTACAACACTTGATATTTTCCATGTGATATGATATCACGAGATGTTATTCAAATCACTTATGTTTTCCTTGAATCTAGATTATTTGAATATTATAATAATATAATAATATTGTGTATTTGTTTGCATGTAGCATATGCTAACCAACTTATTATGTTGTATGACATAAAATATAACGTCTTTCTTCAAACTACCTATATTAAAATGTCAACATTGATAAATTGACATTACAAAACTCAATTAGTTATGGCCAAATACATTAATTTCATGTTAATTGAATATTTCCAAATAATAGCTTTTGGCTATTAGAGATATTTTATTTTAAAAATACATTAGGTATGTTAATTGTTTACTTTGCGTCTATGTCTATAATTATAAATATTGGCCAATTTTCTTGTTGTATTTTCATGTGCAGTAGTATAGGTACAGATTGTTAAATATCTAATATTATATTATTTTTAATAACAAAAAAATGAAGTGTTTACAATAAACGTAGGAAAGCGTAAAAAATAAACAAAAATAAAATAATATTATTAATTATAAATTTCCACCTAGACGCCTATAATACGTTTATACGATTGTACGTTTTTAAACGCTTATAATGATAGTTAACCGTATATTGTGAGTAAATATATTTGAGCCAAATTAAACTGTGAAAAAAATTATTGTACTTAGCCATGATTATATTGTATAGGTAGTTTATAATTTAGTTGTGAATTGTGAATATACACGTTTTTGCACATCGCTTACCTTCCTATAGAAATAAACTTAATAAGCCAATTATTATTGTTTCCTAACCTAGAATATTGTATCTAAAAAAAAGACAAGCCCTTGTTGCTTGTTCTCAAAAAGAAAATAAAACGTTCCGTTATACTCTGTGCTTTTGTTCATAAGTACCTATGCGGCTATGCGTTCTATTGAAGTATACAACTGTTTTGGTAATTGGTAACGTTATTAAATTATTATTAGCAACCCGTATACCATCCATAATACTATAGTTGCGCATTCAACTGTTTTGGATATTACACCTAAATATTTAATGTGAAAAATTGTAAAACATTTTTATCGACAACTATTATAGTAGACACCTACATTTACCTATATTATAACACCTATTTATTGTATATTTATGATTTCAATTACAGCAGACAATCATTTAATAAACTATAGGTACTAGGTTTATATTTATATTATTTTTATAAATTATCTTACTAAAATGTATTAAAATGTAGAAGCTTATAAAAAATGATTGAAGATACAAATGACCACTAAATAACTCAAGATCAAATTTCTGTAAATATTATATACTTATCTATAAAGTATATAATATTAGGTATAAGTCTCAAGTATTATTTTTTATCCAACAAAACCATTTAATTTTTTTTAAACAATAGTGAATTTGTAAATATTTGAGTAAAGAAAATAAATAATAATTCACAGAATACAGAAACCTTCCTGTGAAAGAAATTCAAGTCTTAAGTTGGTWAATTTTTTAATTTTTTTATTAATTAACCGTTTTTCAATTATTTCTATGATAAATAATTGAGTTAATGAAAATAATTATTATATTGTGTAGACTATAGAGTATAGTAGTATAAATAGGTTTGCGTTTGAATTTATAAGATAGGTATTACATGAAATTAAAAAAATTATAATTCAAATATGTGGATACCTACTTAATATTACACGATGTTGCAAGCATCTATCGCTTACATAAACCAATCATTCATTAAACATCAAATAATTAAATAATTATACATTTCTGATAAATATTTAATTTGTGACCTGAATACACTATCTATCAAAATATTTATTTTTTTAATCAACCATGTTTAATGTACACATCAATCTTTTAAAATATTTCATTAATTAAAGGTTAAATTAAATATTATGTATTTATGTGTATTTCAAATTAATTTTAGAGTTTTAAGTAATATTTTAGTAGAGTTGAGAATAATAAAATAAAAAATAAAAAATATTATTGTAATTACTTATCTATCTTTTTRTTTCTATATACATTTAATCTAAACTTTAACAAGTATATTACATTGTAAAAATTCAGTTTGACGTTCATAAACATTATATACTGTATCAAAATGTTAAAAAATGTAAGAAGATCATTTTAAGCAAATCCAACTCCAATAAATGTATTTTAATATTAGTTAAAAATAGATATCATTGAAGTCATAAACATATATTGTTCGGTAATATTAGTAGTAGTTATAAATGATTATATTACTCAATAATAAATTTAAAAATTATCTTGTTTTAATGAATTATTCATTTTAAAATATCTCAATGAAATGTTTGTTTATTTTATTCAATTATTTTTTCATAAATATACATTAGTCAAATATTTTTTTTTTGCATTTATGTTATTATATACAAAGACGTAAAAATATAATTTTTTGCCTGGTTATTAAAAATGTTAATAGTCAAATCAATTCCATAATACATATTCAATGACAGCTAAGACCTAATCAATTAATAATAGTTATAGTGCCACGATAATATTGTATTCATGTGACAATAGTAATAACATTTACTATCAATTAGCATTCCATGTTGTCTTTTAGTCATTGGAAAGTCAACTATGGTGAAATCAAACATCAAAGTATTAAATATATCCACTAGCTAAATTGTTTATGGAGTCCTCACCATCATAATTTATTCATTAGAGATTAAACGTTTTTAATAATTCTATTGTGAAAAAAATAATGTTTTTCTAAACCTTCAAAGTTTTTAAATTCTTTTTTG